GAGCGGTGCAAGAGCGCTGGTGCAAGGGCGACGTGCAGGAGCGGTGCGGCAGGTCTCTCCTCTAGCGCTCCAGCGCGCTCCCCGCTCCGCGCGACCTTAAAACTTGATTAGTATTAAAACTTTACTCTCAGCCCGCTGCGTGTTTTGTAATGAAAACGCCGTGGCATTGGGAGAGTGCTCTCCGCTGCTGCTGCTTACTGCGGGGCGGGGCGGGGCGGGGCGGGGGTCAGGGGGCGAAAGGGCGCGGCGTATTAGGGGGAAGGGAGGGGGCTCTCCATCATCATCATCATCACGTCGCCACAGAAAGGTCGCCTCATTTCCAAATTAGTGCTGGCCCAGTGGACCCCCCGGCCCGGCACCGTTCGACCCCGCGGGTCGCTGGGGAGGCCCGCCCGCGGGGCTCTCTGGCGCTCCTTGGCAGACGCGGGCCCGGGCGCTGACCGCCTCGCCCCGCCTTGCCACGCCTCGCCACGCCCCACCCCACCACGCCGTGCCCCGCCCCTTTAAGGTTCCACCCCATTGTCGCCTGACCAGCCGCTTTTAAGTCCGTCCGTCATGCAGTGCAGGACGGCGGCGGCCTCGGCGGCGCCGAGGCCAAGAAGAAGAGGAGAACAGAGAGCGAGGAAGATTATCCTCTCTTGCTCCGCTTGACGAGCCGCCGGCTCAGAGAGTTGTACGTGGCGGCGGCGGTGGAGGCCGTGGCCGTGGTGATGACGGGCGAGGAGTGCGGAAGAGTCGCGCGGCGGTCGGACGGGTTGAAAAAGAAAGAGAGGGGCAAAGTTTTCTGATTCCTCCTCGACGAGCGCCAGGAAGGGCACGAGGTGGAGGGGAGCGAGAGCTACCTTTCAAAGTAGCGTCGCCACGTCGGCTCTCCTTCCGCGCAAGGGGGTCGTCGTCGTCGCGGTGCGATGTGCGGCCGCCTCGGGTCGAGGAAGAGCAAGGAAGAGTAACGCTGCGGTGGCGCGGCCTGGGGAAGAGGAAGAGTATGCGCCGTGAATTATGTACGGTCCCTCTCTTGTGAGATAGAAGTGGAGAGAGAGAGGGAGAGAGAAAGAGAGAGAGAGAGAGAGAGAGAGAGAGAGAGAGAGAGAGAGAGAGAGAGACAGACAGACAGACAGACTTAGGGGGTTGGGGTTAATGGATGCGGCGGGAGCTGCAGCCCTGTAAGGCGCGAGGACTTGCGCTCGCGCGTGCCGATTTGCAAAGCAAATGCGGCCGGCTGGCCGGAGGAGCCGGGCGGGCCGGGCGCTCTGGGGCAGGACAGGGCCGGGGCCGCTCACGTGTATGGGAGAGTTGGGGAACATTCGCCTCGCGCTACTGCTGTGCTCCTCGGTCCTGGTGGTGATGATGATGATGCACGCAAAGAAAGTAGGGGCGTTTGCTATGGTTCAGAAAGAATGTTTGCTAGAGTAACTGCAGAAGAGTCGTTGCGGTTGCGGCAAGGAATGCAAGACCGGGAATGACAAAACCATGTCCTGAAAGGAATAGCCATGCTGCACCAGGAGCAACAGCAGCATAGTATATTTTCACTGGAAAGCCTGGAGTGTGGGGAGATTTTTTGGTGCAGTACCTACCTATATGAGAAAGGTCGCTCGGCACATTACATTGAATACGGCATCCATTATTGTATTACGGCTGGTGTACTGTAGCTGTTTGTCGAGCAAGGTTTTAATTACAGTCTCGCTGGAGGAGAAGGGTCGCGTCCAGTGTGGCTTTACACCGCATCCGCGACTCAATTCCTGGCGAGTTTGGAGCCTTGCCTTGGGCGTGCCGCGCGAGCCGCCGCCGCTTCATCACGAGGCAGTGAACTGTAATTAAGACATTGTACCGCCTACTCCTTTTCATTAAAGTCTTAAAGTGACAGCAAGCGGAGGTCATACTCCCCTCTCCTGTGTCCCTCTTTTTTTAATTCTTTCTTTTTTTTCGCGGAAGCCCAAAGGCTCCTAAAGGCATACTGTGCCCTTCGAGCACCCACTTTCCTAGGACCCGGTTAAAAGAAAAAGCACGAAGGATAGAAAAAAACACTTTTTTAGCTCGCCTCGTCCTGCCGTCCTGTCGCGCCAGCTCGAGCACTGTCGTAGGGACGCGCTTTGCATTGATGTGCGCGGGGCTTTGAGGCCCGCAGGCTAATTAAAATGCCGACGGAAAATTGTGGCGACGTTGCGCGACATTGCGAATTATACGTTATGCAACCCCAATCTCTTTCTCCCTCCTTTTTTAATACCCTTTCCCCCCGCCTTCAATTATGAATGCGACTTGAAAACGTGTTGTAAATTAGGTGGGGGGGGGGAGATACTATAAACGTATCAAATACCCTCAGAAGCTGTGGCCATTCCATGTATGGAAAAGAATCTTGCTTCCACTCCTGCTTTGACACTGCAAGCGTACACTTTTGAATGGCGGTCGAACGAACACTTGGCTTCTCCAGTGGAGCACTATTGACCGTTTTGGAGTTGGCTGAGCCGCCAAGCAATAAAAATAAAGAATCTGAATAAGAATAAGAGGCGAAGCCTTAACAACCGAGTGGAGTAGCCCCCAGGAGTTTGGGAGATCACGGCCCAACTTATGGGGATCCAACCTTCCCAATCGTAAAGTTTATAGGGTTGATGTGAGTCAGAGATATACTGTTCTGATGAGAGTACAACAAAAATTGCTGCGAAACTGATTCTTGAGCAATTATTACCGTTGGAAAGATAACTGAGGTCAAGGTTAAAATGAGCGCTTGCTTCTAAAACACCTTATGTTGCAGTCTGTGCGTTGGCAAGCCTGCGCATGAGAACGGCACGGTAGAACTGAGGTATATTTCGTACGCGCGAGGAGCGGCGTCGAGTAAATGGGCAAAATGGGTACCAAAAAAAACTAAGGAGGGAAGGAGTTGAAAATTACTTCCCCATGATAATTAATTGTCAACATAACAAAATCACAAAACAAGGGAAACGCACATCGCTTCCGCGACCAGGGATCAGCCTCTTTGTCTATAACAATGCCTAGTATCATTAGAGTTTGGTTTTGGAGCTCATCCAGAACCCTCAGCCTATATGCAAGCTCTCATAGCGCCTGACGGTTAGGCAACATCTTGTCTGCAGTGCATGCGTGTACTGCGGGCTGGCCTACCCTGAGACTCGCAGGCGCCGAGCTCCCGCAGTTTGACGAATGACTCTTTGAGAAACGGGTGTACTTTCTGGACGATCCTTTATTTTTGTACTGTCGTGGTTTTACGCGAGTATTACAGTCGAGATTATGGGGCCGTGTACAGAGTGTATGATGACCGTCGGTCACACCTCGCTCGTGTATTCAGACGGGATGGCGGACGGCGCGTCCCATGACAAACTGTCGGCAAATAACCATTGATGCGTGTGTGTGTGTGTGTGTGTGTGTGTGTGTGTGTGTGTGTGTGTGTGTGTGTGATATTTTGTGTGTGTGTGTGTTCGCTCCTCCCCTAACGCCTGGGGCCCCTGCGGGAGGGGCGCGAGGGGGGGCCAATCGGCCAATATTTCGCCTTTCGAGTTGATCTTGATTAGGCGAGTGGGTCGGCGCGGGGGCGGCGCGGGCCGTGCCCTGAGGCCCCTGCGGGCAGCCGCAAGCAGCCGGAGGAGGGCCGGGCCCAACCCGCCGCTGACCCTCAGTAGGAGCCTTATCTGACCTCGTGGTGCCGTCTAACCCTCTCCCTCCCCCTCCCGCCGACCACCCCTCTCCCTACACCCCAACCGCTTGCCACCCCTTCCACTCCCTCCACCTCCTTGTTTTCCGGAAATGCACCCGCTAGCTTATTGTAGCGACTTTATCAAGCGGGCTGACGGGACGGGCGCGAATAAGGTGTTGTCGCCAATGGCGTCGGGCTGGCGGGAAATGGCCCGGAGATAAGTCATGGACTTTGACACCTGGACGCGAGGCGAGGGCGGCGCGAGTCATGGGAGTCATCATCGTGGAAGGCTCTTTTGCCCTTTGCACTGCGGGCACGCGCACTTTCTCGTCGTTTATGCTGCCATGTCGCTGATTCGCCTCCGCCATCCCTTCGTTTAGCTCCCGCCGGATTATCATGTCGCGCGCGGGAAGCGATAAATCACGGGAATCGCAAAACACCAAAGTTATCACACTAGCTTTATGCGAAACGTGGCAAAATAAGTAAAGGGATTCTTAAATGCAGAACTGGCCATATGTTAGCGCATTATCATCAAATGTGTCGGGAACGGAACGGGTGTTCTCAATTCAAATATCGTACTAATAAATTTGAGCCCCATTTCTTGTTTTAAGGAATAAAAAACAAGAAATGGGGATCAAAATTTTAAGTACGATACTTGAATTGAGAACACATTTTTTGGAGGTGCAACGTACACTTTTCGCACGGCAGACGGATGGACAGCAGAACAATCGACGCTCTGCTTCGCTTTTGGCGGGCGCGCGCATAATGACGAGGCCCGCCTTGTCGTGTCGCTTTCCCGCCGCTTATTTTAGTTTACACTCTGGAAAAGTGTTTCGTTGACCGGAATATCGAAACAATCAAACAAGCGCTGCCAGGCCCCGGCCCAGGCCCCGGCCGCACCGTTTCAATCCCGACGGACTGACGCATTGGTGGCGCGGCGTTATCGGTTTATGAATGCATAATGTATGCTGCCCTGCCCTGCCGGGCCCTGCCGGGCCCTGCCGGGCCGCGTTCGGAACGGGCTAATGAGGGCGATGGAGATGCGGACGCGGACCCCCCAGCCGGAATAATTGGCCATACGGTTATACGCAAAAATGATAAAAGTGGCAGAGGGAAAACGGTCGTGTGCATATGTGTTCGAGAAACTTGATACCCGGTCGTCCCCGGTGGGAGGCGGGAAAGGCCCGGCCCCGGTGAGAGGCGGCGATTTTGGGATCATGATGACGGGTGCACTTTAACATGCATCGCCCGCTGACATGATTTGTGTAATTGGTGGAGGGTTTTGAATTGTCTTCGACTGTTTTTGATCAGTTGTCGTTTACAACGGGGGGCTCAAACGATGCCTTTCTGCTTCCAGCGTCCAGCCCGGAGCCGAAGCAGTGCCCTTACATGGGCAAGTTCAGCGTGGCGGGCCTGCTGCAGGAGCGCAGGGCGCGCTCGGCGGGGGGCAGGGCCTCGGCGGCGTCGAGCTCGTCGCCCGGCCGCTGGTACCGGCGCGCGCTGCAGGAGTACAACCCGGAGGACGACGAGGGTGGCCTCGGCGAGGACGAGGACGGCGATGAAGACGGAGCCTACGACACGCCCAGGGATCTGAGGAGGAGGCCGGCTGGGATCGATGACCCACAGGGTGAGCACACACGTACTTACTCTTTTAATTTTTTGTTTGAAGTTTTCAGATTCCTTTTTAAGGGTTTTTAAAGAGGTTTTAAAAGTGTTTTTTTTTAAAAACATTTTTTCTAAACGGGGCGCGCGTTGTGCTTATTGCAGAGGAAGCCCGCCTGTTTAACAAAAAGAAGAAGCAGCAGGAGGAGCGCGACGCCCGAATCAAGGCGGACCTGGAGGAACGGCAGGAGTGGCTGAAGAAGCAGCAGCAACAACAGGAGGAGCAGCAGCAGGGCGGCAAGGCGCAGGCTGCGCAGCAGGGGGCGTCCTTCACGCACCGCGGTCTGCAGCGCAGCCTGCACCACCAGGTCAAGACCCACTCCAAGCGGAGCAGCGGCCACAAGGCCGTCATCGAGGTAAGGAGGGGCTGCGGTCGGGCTGGGGTGGACGTTAACGAGGCCGGAGCTGCCGAGCTGGACTTCACACTATGCGCGTACTTTTGCAGGTTGCCCACGCCGTTCGCGCGTCCGCCGAGGACGACGACGAAGACGAGGACGAGGACGACGAGGAAGAAGAAGACGAGGAAGTTGAGGAGGAGGAGATGGACGGCGCCATCCCTGACCCCAGTGACCTGCACGTGGACAAAGTGCCGGGCGCGGTCCACCGTCTCGGCAGCAGCGGCAACGGCAACGGCAACAGCAACACGAACACCAACATCAACGGCGGCGGCGGCGGCGAGGGCCGGGGGCAGGGCGGCCGCTACAGGCCGCACACCCCGGAGTACGGCAACATCGACGACCTGCTCGAGCCCAGCAAGTCGAGCACGCACTGGGGGACGTACCCGAGCGACGAGAGGTAGGCGAGCGCGCCGCCGCTTGACTCACTGTTTTTGCTTCTTTTCCCATACTCACGCCGCTGCTCTTTCGCGCTGCGCAGGTTGCTGGAGCTGGACAGCAAGAGTTCATCGGCCGGCTCGTCGAAGAGCACCCGTGGCCGTCGGGTGCGCGGGCTGGGGAGGCACCACGCTGCGCACGGCCAGGGCCACGGCCAGGGCCACGGCCACAGCAGGAGGGTGCGGCGGGGCTTCGGCTACGAGGGTGGCCTGCCCGGCCTGGCCAGCGTGGACCCCTGCGAGCGGGACCCCGGCGCGCCGGGCCTGGGCACGGCCAGCGCCGGCACCGGCAGCATGCACCTCTACATGGGCTGCTCCACGCAGGACACGATGGAGTTTAGGAGGGACTGCGGGGCCCCAGAGCCGGATGTTGTATCTGGTGGGTGGCATGCTCAAAAACGTGTTCATTTTTTATTATTTTTTTGCTGCTTCTTTTAGCAAATGTTACCTTTATAAAACTGTCAGATACTTTTTTAGTATTACATTTTATTTTTCCAACACTGCAGCGTACTCCTGCCACGGTCGCTGGGAGGAGAACGGCACGCACTTCCTCATCACGACGCCGCTGCCGCGCTCGTCGCGGGCCGTGAAGCGCTACTGCTTCGTGTACCGCGAGCAGCCGGGCGCGCCGGGCCAGCCCGCCGTGCTGCACTTCTCGTCCAGCGGCGAGTCCTGCCAGCGGGCGCTCACGGCCAGCGGCGCCCACCGGCACCCCGCGCCGCCCGTCGCCTTCAACATCACCAGCTCAGGTAAGTCTGGCTCTCCCTTGTCACTGGGGTTGCCTACCACGGCAGGCGCTCATTCACTCTCTTCTATCCGCAGGCGAGTGCATGGACACGAGTGCAGGTGCACGATCCATCCCGTCGAGAAGTCGTCTGCTGTCGGGCGTCGTCGCTCTTGTGATATTACTAGCCCTAAGGTGATGCTCGCCCTTCCCTTAGCCAGTGATTCTGAGGGAAGCAAAGTCATGTCTGTAGAGTACGTAAAAATAATGATGGTTGCCTAGTTTCTACCTTGCATTTGTCTTGTGTGACATTAATAATAAGCACTTCTCTCTTCATGATTTTATTTTGATTTACATTTGCTTGTTTTGGAACAGGCAGTTTGGCATGATGTTTACTAGTTAGTGACATGTCTACCTGAAAATTGTAATGTAATGTTTTTATATATGCTCTTCCTAAAACTAACCAGAAAAAAAAGGGTTTTTTCAATGATGTGATCATGTGATATTGATACTTCTTTGCTGAGGTGTCAGGGCAGTTAATGAACTTCTAAAGGAATTATTTCATATACATATATCTAGAAATTCTACATATTTATCATCTTTTTGAAATGATGTAGGGGTAACAGTATCATTATCATAGTGTAATATTGTATGATTGTGTAAGAAAGTTTTTACGGGTGAAAAATGAATTGGAAAGTGATCTGGGAAACAGGAAACCTCTTTATAAATTTGGACAGATCATATTGGAGTAAGCGTTTAATAATGTTAAGTGCCACTATAAACATTGCTTTGCAGGCAATATCAATGAGTCTTTAAGAATTAATTTGGTTACTAAAAAGACTATACAAGCCGGCAAAGTTTAAAAATTGTGATATTAATTTTGAGATAGATTCAACTTTGTATGAAAATTTCTGTAGGAGGTACTTCCCAATCATTAGGGAAAAAGAGGTTGTCAACTATGGCTGAATATTATAAGAGTGTGTTTATCTGCAATAGAGGACCTATGGTGCTAGATAATTATGTCTGATCACTGTGAAAAAGATGGTTGATGTGTTATGTATGAGTTGTTTCAATACCCTGAAGAGTTGATTTTTTATCAGATGTATGGAACAATTTGTTCCAACATTTTAGAAGCTTGAAAACAGTGTCGTTGATTCAAGCGATTATAAAAGAAGAAATTACAGTTCTTGATTTTTGGAAATCGTATTCTAAAGCAACAACATAGGCCAGTAAGAATGTCTGTATGTCTGAAATCTCATTTTACAGTAATCCTTATCTCCACCATACACAAACGATGAAAGTGCAAATTTCACAATAGAATTTTAAATTTAAGTAAAGTCTATACACAATTTAAGTTGACAAACCACTCACCTTTTTTCATACATATGTTTATTAATACATTTAAATTGACTTATTGCATCATCTGTGACATCAGTTTATTTTAAGAAAGGTGAGAACTTTTAAAACACCTCCTTTTTTGTTTTTTGTTGTTTTGTTTTCGACTAATTATAATTAAGGAAATAGGTTATATTCATGGTATTGTAGTACAATTATGTTTAAAAGAAAACTATTGGTCAACTACTGTACCATTATCAAATTTTATAATGGAGGCACCAACTCTCCGACTTAATATGAACCCTGAAAAAATAAGCAATAAGCGTTATCTGTAGTTTAAGTTACCGTACCCTTTGCTTCTATCCCTAAGTAGTGCACAGTGTACATTTTTTCTGTATAAATTTCATGGCATGATATATTTATTTTCTTATTTCTTTGTAGTATAATGTTTTAACATGAAAGGGTCGAGCTCTACCCTTGTTTTCTAATAGTATGCAATCAGTCTGCACTGCAATATTCTTGTGCCTACTCAAATTGTTTTTATTTTACTATTTTTCTGTTCTCATCCTTTAGATCCTCTGGATTTTCCGTTTTGCTTGCTCAATATGGCTGTTGAAACAATTCTTAGAATGAAATCACTCAATAGAATAATTTTTTGTTATCAAAAGAAATTGAGAAACAGTGATGTGGTGAGTGTGAGAAGGGGCATATTGACCAATTTGGAGATGGGTTGAAATTGTTATTAAAGATCAAGTGAATTGATTGTTTTAAGTACCTGGCATTGTTGAAAAAAATAATTGTGCTGCGGGATTTGGGATGAAAGAGCAACACTGGCTTATATTAAGAAACCTGTACACACTGTTCTTGTAGAAGGTATTCAAACAATTTTTGTATTACTTATTTCTTTTACAGTCTTAATTTATACTTTGACTGCAAGTTAAATTTGGTACCAAGCAGTCAACATTGTGAAACACAATCATTTTTCTCAAATTTGGCTTTAAATTTGAGAAATGAATGCTAGATTGAAAGTAAGCATTTTTCGATAAAGTATGGTCTGGAACAAGGGATTTGCTCAGAGACACGTTTAGTGACAGGTGATCTGAAATTGTGAAGGTTGACCTATCACTTAAGTTATGGACTGCATTCAAAAAAATGCCCTGCCTTGTATTTTAAAGAGTTGCAGTTTGTCAGTTTGTAAAGAAATGTAAATTGAAAGGGTATATGGGGAAAGGGGTCTTGTACAAATGTATGCACATGGTATATTTGGTATGATTGGACTGCATTCAGTTTGTTAGACAATGTAAATAGCTCTTGTGGTACTGTATAGTGTTATGTTTTTGCTAGGCAGCAAACGATCAAAATTAATAAGATTTGTTATCGTACAACCTACTGTTATTCTGGTGCTGTTGAATCTTCTTGAGAATGTACAAGAGGCATCTGTCCCAAATTAGTGATTAGTTGTTCTTCTATATGGAGATGTTATGCAATTTAATTTGTAAAAGCACAACTTTTTTTAGTTCTCAGAATTCTTTTACGGGATATTTCTTTGCTCTCTTTTTAAGATGTAGATAAAACACGAGTAATGAAAGTGCACACCTAATGCAGATCAAAATTAAAATGAAAGCTGTCACTGATTTTCTTCATTCAGTGTTATGTAATAAAATTATATTTATATAGAAGCTTAGAGGGGTACATTTTTAAAAACAATTATCTTGAGCAATAAACTAAGACTTGCTGTGGAAGATGGTTACATAGAGAAAATCCATTGTTACTTTGTTGTATGTTCCATTAAATGTGACTTTCTCTAAATTTACACACTGTATTGTAGTACTGATCATTCTCAAAACTGAGCATACCTTACATCCCAGCATCGCTATCCTTTTTACTTTTACTACACCAGCAATAACCCATTTTCGTGAATCTGTTCGAATATAACTGACAGTGTCAGTTGTCGTCTGAAGACTCCTGGTGCATTAAGTCTCTATTGAAAGGTCAATTAGGGAAGGGGACGGTGGTGGTCCCAACTCTGAGAGAAACATATAGAACACAGAACTTATTTTCTCCTTTGACATAAAAAAATATATTGTCTTACTACGGTGGTACGTACGATAAGAAAGACCGGCAAACCCTGTTTCTCAGCAGGGTTATATATACAATGTTATGGTCTTTTCGGCGAAAGCGGTGGCGCCTTATACCTTTAAGTAAACGAGCCCACAATTTTACATTTCGTTACATTCTTGTTGACCACATGCGACGAGGTTTCCGACGACGATCACTTGTGCTAGTACAATTTTTGATTATCGTACGCATTTTATCACTTTGTGTCATCATCATTCATTCCTTTACCGTAAAAACAGTAATCTCAGCAGTAGCGATGACCACACTGTGGTCGTGGTCGTGACTGGAACGGCATGACCACGATGTGGTCATACCCATATCGAGAGATCTGTATCAAGTAAAGTCTGTAGGCTCCGGGCACACATTTATGTTTATCTCAAAATTTTAAGAGGGGAATAGCATATACATTTAGCTCCGAAAGGGGGGCCAGAAGAAGATGCCTTAAGAAAGCTGACCTAGGGAACCCAGCCAGAAGTGGATTTCCCCGTTTTTTTCTTTAATTTCGAATCTGATTTTCTGCAGTCATGAAACAATTTTCTTCTATTTTGTCAAGAGATTTCCTATCTATGGGTAGATTTATTTTTTTCCCCTTTTCCGTAAACCTTTTCGGGATTTTCGTTTTCACTAACCTTATAGTGGTAGACCTGACGGTACTCGCATATGAAAAATTGGGACTACCATTCATAACAAAAACAACGTGAAATTTGAACCAGGCTAAGGCAAGGTTGCGATTTGATGTTTGATTTGTGTTTTCGTGTTGACTAAGTGTTGACGTCAGGAAAGACAGATATTTATTTTGGGTGAGTAAGCAGAGAGATTTTACAAAATTGTTTTACCTGGTACTCTTGTCATTATGTGTGGAAAAAAAGTCTTAGTAAGTAATCTGCTGTGTGTTCTTCCGTTGTTTCTACCGGCTAAACCACTCTATACATCCTTTCAGATAACCTAATCCATGTTAACATAGTTTTCATCAAATATCACCCAATAAAAAATCGAACGAATTGATTTTGTTGCTATAGAAGCTAATAAAATATATCTTGTATTGATTTATTTCAGTCATGGGCTTCCATCACAACCAATGTATATCTTGAGTGCTTGTCATCGTAGAATCTTAAAACACTTTCCGTATTTTCTTAATTTATATCAACCAACAAATTTTCTGCATAGAGCTCAACGACTTTGTTCCGAGTCAGTAGGCTCAGTGACTGTCATGAAGATTTTAAATGTAGCCGAAAAAAATGATGCCGCCAAGAACATAGCAAATCATCTTGGAGGTGGCAATGTTCGTAGGGTAAGATATGGAGTACTGCCTATTTTTTAGTACATTCTGTAGTGTACATTTGATTTCTAGTTTTAAAAACTTTTGACTTTATTTGGAATTTAAATTTGTACACTTCACAAATGTTTCAGAGAGATGGCTTCAGTAAATTTAACAAAATTTATGAGTTTGATTATAATGTACGAGGACAGAATTCTCAAATGGTCATGACATCAGTGTCTGGTCATATGTTAGCACTTGATTTCAATGGACAATATCGGAACTGGCGGGGATGCAACCCCCTCTCTCTGTTTGATGCTCCAGTTGTCAGGTATTGTCCAAAGGATTATGAAAACATCAAGGTAAAGTGTGCTTGCTTGTCTTTATCATCTCTTAAACCAAACTGAAAATCTGAAGCTGATCAACATTGTTTGCAGCGCACCATTGAACGAGAAGTACGGAGTTGTCAGATGCTTATAATATGGACTGATTGTGATAGAGAAGGGGAAAATATAGGATTTGAAATTATTGATACCTGCCTGGCAGTAAAAGCAAATCTGCAAGTGTTTAGGTAATAACTCTTTTTGATTTGTTTCATATTACATGTAACCAAAATTAAGTATTAGCATTAGCTTATCAGAAATACTCATACTGTAAGAATCTATTCTTCTGTAGAGCCAAGTTTTCAGAAATTACAGCTCCATCAATTAGGAGAGCTATTAATACACTAGAGGCCCCAAATAAGTTATTGAGTGACGCTGTTTCTGTGAGGTCAGAGTTGGACTTACGAATAGGTACGTGAATCTGCAAATTGTTGCTGTGAGGTGTACATACTATCTAAAAGCTGAATAATTTATTTATTTCAGGTGCTGCCTTTACCAGGTTCCAAACTTTACGTCTTCAAAAAGTGTTTCCTCAAAAATTAAAGGAGAATTTAATTAGCTATGGTTCATGTCAGTTTCCAACTCTGGGATTTGTTGTGGAACGCTATAAATCTATTGAACGGTTCATTCCTGAACAGTTTTGGAAATTAACTGTTAATCATACTATAGATGACTTGACTGTAGAGTTTTCATGGAAAAGAGTAAGACTTTTCGATGAACTTGCGTGCAAAGTTTTACTAGACACAGTTCAGGAAAGAACTGAAGCTGTTGTTGAAAAAGTAGTAAGCAAACCGAAAAGCAAGTGGAGACCGGTACCATTGGATACTATTGTAAGTTTTGTTGTAATTTTGTCTTGAATGATTAATTTCATAAATACTTCTGCTCATTTTCCTTATGCTCTCCAGGAACTAGAAAAATTAGGATCGAGAAAGCTGAAAATAAATGCAAAAGAGACTATGAGGGTTGCAGAACGGTTGTACACTCAGGGCCTTATAAGTTACCCTCGTACAGAAACTAATATTTTCCCCAAGAATATGAATCTTGGACAGCTTGTTGAGATGCAAACTCAAGATAATCGATGGGGAGGTATTATCCACAACTTTTGTCTGAGCATTGTGCTTGATGAAATAATACTTTGTAAAATTTCAATATTGTTTTTTTCACCTAATTTTAGCATTTGCTCAGTCAGTACTAGCCGAAGGGCCAAACCCTCGTCAAGGAAAAAAGACTGATGAGGCCCATCCTCCTATTCATCCTACAAAATATACTGATAACTTGCAGGGTTTGTAATGTTATTTTGCTATCTGCATGTATTGTTTTTGTTTTTATAATTAGTAGGTATGATTTTTATCTGTCAACGTTTACCTTTGAATATAAATAAATAGGGAACGAAGGTAAAGTGTATGAATTTATTGTTCGTCACTTTCTGGCTTGCTGTTCAAAAGATGCCCAAGCACATGAGACAATTGTTGATATTGATATCAATGGAGAAAAGGTATTTGTTTGCTGTTCTTAAATTTATCTATTATTCTCTTTATGGATATTTGGTGTGTTATGCCTGATGTCTTGCTTATTTCTTGTGCTTATCAGTTTGTGGCAAGTGGTCTTAGAATAATAGCACGTAATTACTTGGATGTATATCCCTATGAAAACTGGAAAGCAAAGGAAATTCATCCTTATGAAGAGGCACAGCATTTTCAGCCTTCTAAAATTGAAATGTCAGATGGGAATACTGCTGCTCCAAAACCTCTCACAGAAGCTGATTTGATTGCTCTTATGGAAAAACATGGCATAGGTGTGTCTTTTGTTGTTGTTGTTGTGTGTTTCTGTAAAGTCTATCCTTAACAAGTAGAGATAAACTGTTGAACTGGCTTACCCCTTGAATCTCTAGCATTATTTTATCTTCAAGCAATGTACTAAGATGAAATTTCACCTTACCAGGCACTGATGCAACTCATGCAGATCACATAGAAACAATAAAGAACCGTGCATATGTTGGATTGGATAATAATTACTTCCTACCAGGCGAACTAGGTCTTGGCCTTGTTGATGGATATGATAGCATGGGTTTCTCTATGTCAAAACCCAATCTTCGTGCAGAATTGGAGGCTGATTTACAGAGGTGAATTATTTTGTTTAATTTATTGTATCAACCTTTTAAGATGTATCAAAACATCTGTAATAAGAATGTCTCAAATATTTGAAAGTAGGTCATAGTATCTTTCATATTTGCGCTCCCAAATTCTTTTACAGCACAGAACTCATACTATTCTATGTACTATATCTTTTAGTCTGACAGTAACTAACCTACATTATATATTGTTATTCCTGTATGATACTTCCAATGTTATTGTGAATGGATAATTTATATAACTTAGACTCAGTGATTACTGTTCAAATTCTTTTCAGGATAGCAAATGGTACCCGTGATGCAAAAGATGTATTAGCAGACCAATTAAGAAATTATCGAACAGTCTTTGAGCAGGCTTTAGAGCAGGTGAAGTGCTGTTATTTTGCATCCAGGTAGCTTTGTACGTACGTATTACCCTTGTAACTGATGATTTAAATTTTCTTTCCAATCAGGCAGCAAAGATAGATATTGCTCTGGCTCAGTATTTAAATGAAGAAAGGCAACCTGCAACTGAAGCTGCTGGTGCAATGATAGAGATTGGTCACAAAAAAGTTTGTGTTTGCCCATCATGTGGGCAAGATATGGTTCTTAGATCCAAAAATAATAATCCTGGTTATTTTATTTCTTGCATGGGTTTTCCTGATTGCATAAAAGCTATTTGGTTTCCTAGTTTTGTTGAGCATGCAGATGTATCTGAAGAACTTTGCAATACTGTAAGTTTTAGCTCTTTCTGCTATATACCTATCTCAATTAGTACGTGAACTTTTGTACAGTGTCTCGTTTGTTTGTTTAGTGTAATTCAAGGCCTCAGAAACTAAAGTTCCGATTTAAGAGGGGAGCATGTCTTCCACTTTATCCAGATAACTATGAGGGCTGTGTTGGTGGCTGTGATGTGACATTCATTGATAAACTTTCCATACGCCCTATTTCTGATTTAGCAGGAACAAATTCTGGTAAGCAAACCATTTGGGTAGAAAAAACATACAGTTAGAAATAATCTGCATGCTATTTTGATTTGAGCTATAATATTCTTTTCTTTTCAGTGGCACCAAGGCCTACTATTGCTAACTTAGGGAATAATCAAAGGAATCCTCCCATTGCTAACATAGGGAATAATCAAAGGAATCCTCCAAGTCCTCCAAATCGCAGCTCTGGAATATCATTCAACAATAGACAGTATGGTGAAACAAACTCTCTCTCTGTTTAATATTGCTACTTGCTTCTTAATGTATGTGGAATGGGACTTTCAGGCCTAAACCAACAAATTCAGCAAGTGGAGGAAATTCTGCCTCAAATGCTTCAGGGCTCTTTCAAAATAGACAAAACTCTGTCTCTTCTGATAATTTGGTTGTATGTAAATGTAATATTGATGCAATTCAACTAACAGTGCGTAAAGATGGACCTAATCAAGGTATACATCTCTAACTTAATCCATAGTATCTATTAATTTTTGTTTGTAATTTTTTAAAACAAAGATAGATAATACCTTATTTTTGTGTATAATTATAGGAAGACAATTTTATAAATGTGGTAACAATGGCGGTTGTGACTTCTTTATGTGGGCTGATGAAAGTAATCATCCAGAGCCTAGCTCTACAAGGAACCAAGGATCATCGCGCCAAACTTCCCTCACAGGTTTGTTCTGTAAAAAATTTATATTGGCTAATGCTTTGTACTATTAACACGTTGAGTGCGGTGGGGGTAGGCAATCCTATGTCATTGGGACCCATGGTGTGTGTCACGCCCCACTCAAGACTTTAACCAAAGATTTTAATTTCAGACTTCAATAACTTTAACAATAATGCTGATGGCGATGGTGAGGTTACATGTCAATGCGGTCAACCAGCAAAAAGGTAATTATAAACATTAAAGAACTGTCCTTTTGACATATCACATTTCTGTTGTCTTATGATTATTTTTCTTGTTCTTTGACAGCTGCACAGTGCAGAAAGATGGACCTAACAAAGGTCGTCAGTTTTACGCATGTCCTAAACCTAGAGAGTCTCAGTGCAACTTTTTCCAATGGGCTGATAGCCCAGATGGTGGTTCAAACTATGGGGGAGGTAGAGGTAGTGGAAGAGGCGGAGGCGGAGGCGGAGGCAGAGGCAGAGGAAGAGGAAGAGGGGGAGGACCTGACAGAGGTGGCAGCAATAACAATTCCAATAATTGGTCTAGAGGAGCATCCAGTAGTAGTGGAAGAGGTGGTGAGTAGCTCGAGCCTGGCTAATGATTATAGTGCTGGGCATCAGATCAAATTAAAATAAAATTTTATTTGTAGGAAGCAAGACTGCAGCTGGTGGTAGTAAAAGGAAGTGTGGGGCTTGCGGTCAAGAAGGTAGGCTAGTGCCTTGTGCCCATCTATGGTTGCCTTCCAACTTGAATATGGTTGACTAATCTAATCTTTTTATTTCAGGACATACAAGACCAAAATGTCCGAACATGTAATGTTACATCAGTGAAAATATGTGGCTTTTGTGGTAATAAACAAACCGAATTAATTATGAATTAGTTTGTATAATTACTTTAATATTTACCAAAATTTCATAAAAACATGTTTATCAAAGCTATTGTAATGCAGAGGTATATATTAGTATTGGTTATTGTCTAAATTTTATAAGTAGGTGGCTATCACAGTTTATTACTTTGAGAGGGTATATTGTTTTGTTTCTCAGCAGGTGTGTGAGGACCCAAATCCAGGCTATACACAAGATAAGGTTTCTTTAGGATTGGGTGAGTGTCTTCAAAATATGATAAGGAGATGCCACTTGCTTCATACTCTAAGAATTTTTTGACAAAGAATCGATTTGTTGAATGCACGTGTGGGTGATTCAAGTATTCTTCAACCTGCAACAAAATGCAGCAGTGCATTATTTCACATTCCTTTTTTAGAAATTAATGACTTAATTTCACTCTTAAATATTGTTCACTCCTTACAGTCATCCATTCAACTGCATCAATTTCCCTGTCACACTTCTTCAGAACCTCTTGTCCAGGTTCTGGTGTTAAAGCAACAATAAAATACATGTCAGAGCATCCAAATGTGAAATTATGAACATGGCGAAAGCAGACCATTTGTTTAAATTTGGCTCTTACACTTGTTTCTTCAAGTACCTCCCGTTCTGCTGCATTCACAATTTCTTCACCTGTATAAACAATTGTTTGTTTTGTTCTCAAGTAACAATGACAAATTCTAGCAGTCTTTGCAGAATATATACAATTACAATAAATTACCAGGTTCTACGTAGCCTCCAGGTAGCTTCCAGTGGGGAAATAATTTGTACTTTTCACTGACCACTAAGATTTGCCTTCTCTCATTCATCACAATTGCACCAACACCAACCATCGTACTTGCATATTGTGGAATATTGCAAACTTCATTTGATGGAAGCCAGCAAACCATCATAACATATGACGGTTGCGCATGATGGAAACGGAAACCATTCTGTAAGTTTATTGATTGAATAGGGTATTTATTTCTATTTTGAATCCCTATCTAACACATTCAGTGCAGTGCGACCACAACCTGCAGAATGCACAGCAGCACTGATGAGCTTGTTAATATTAAACTGTACTATAATATCATATTAAATTACCTGAGCAAGGACTGGAACCCAAGTTGAGTCAGCTAGTGCAACTTTAAACCAAACTCCTCGTATGCCAGTATCTCTCCATTTATCTAGCGATCCTTATGAAAGCAGTAAAATTAAATTGTAACTTTTCATTGAAAACAGAAAATATTAATATTTATAGTTAATTTCACCATATAGTTTGTTTGTATATCAATTTTATTTGTACTTTAATGTAATAGATTTGAAGAATATTGACTAACCTTTTAAAATATCAGGGAAAGTTGAAGTATCACAAGGTTCTTGAGTAGAATCAACAGTAACTCCATTGAATCTGTCCTTGTTTCCATTAAATAACTTGTCACAACTCATGGTTGCAAATGTTCTGGTGGTTCTGCTGTTCGGTTGGCGTTGATTGGTATTAAAACCTCTTTTTCGAATACAAACTGATTTTCTAGGGCAAAAGATAAGATTAGATTAAGAGCATGCTACAGGGCCAGGCACTACTGCCTAGTATGATATTTTTTGCCATCGGCACGGTACCCTAACTGACACTAACGGCTGAAAATGAGAAGGGCAAAAGAAAACAAACCTCGCTTAGTAATAACCTACTTTTTGAAATGGGTGACATCTGAAAACAAACTGGTTTTATAACATATATATACTACCTACACATTGACCACTAGTTTAATATTAGTAAAATATGGTAAATGTTAACTTCTCCAAATCTGCAAAACGTTAGACTTGAAACGTACTGTGAAGGATATGATGATGCATCAAGTTCCAGTGTACACTCGGAATCAAGCCTGCTTCTGCTCCATCTCAGAATTGTTCTACGCGACACGAAAACGAAACTTCTGGTGTTCATGTAAAGCATTGGACTGCAACAAGGTCTTGATGAAAGTCATTCGAAGCGAAACCAAAGAGCCACTGATATAAGATAGACGTCACTCACATCTATTGCGTAGGCTGTGATATCATCAAACAAGAACTGGACGTGACCATCAACATCACATCAACATTCTGCATCAGCTGATCCGGGATATCACTTGCAACCACAACCACCGCGCGATTTTTCCTATCACCGGCGTCGGTCCCTCATCCGCCATTTTCTTCCTCGTTCCTGTTGTGAAGTTTGAATTCTCGAACGACGAGCTTGCGTTTGGGGCGCCCGTCCTCGCGTCCCCGCAGTTTAACCGGGAATATTCTTTGAGTTCTTGGTATTGATTTCCTTCCGTACAACAATCATAAACTTGCTCGGCATTAAATGCCTCAGGAAGAGCTAGTTTCTGTTCCAGTGCCACTTGTGAATGGGTTATGCGACACCGTTGTTTGACAGAAGGATGACATTCATTGCGGACAAAAGTTTGGAGCTATCTTTCTGTCAAGACAGTTGCAGATTGTGTGGTCAAAGAGAATCATCTTTGTGGAATTTATTTGAAGCTTCTGATACCAATGGTAACCTGAATCTTGCTGAGAAAATCTTTCTATGCCTGAACATTATGGTAAGAATGAAAACATTTCTGTGGAATTAAGAATTTATTATCCTTGGTCTTAAATGGTATTTTGTTTCACATAAACAGGCTGAAATTAGTGATGGATTACCAGATCGAATATGTGAAAAATGCATGACTGTTGTACTATGTTTCTTTGAGTTTCGGCAGCAGTGTTTGAACCACGATACTTTACTACGGAAGTCCCTGTCAGCCCACAATCAACACAAATTGGTAAGATTATCTGTAAAAGTTTATTTCTTATAATATGTTAGTGTGGATGTTTGTATCAAATGTATAAGTGATTTACTGAATCATGCTAACTTGTATTGTGGTAGGAACTGCAAGTAATTTTAAGCAGGAATCTGATTTAACTATAGCGCTTAAGCTTTTAAATTACTTGGACCATTTAAAGGTGGATTTACGATAGCAATGCATCAAGCATAGTTCTGCCGCCAGCGTTTAAACAAGCCTCGCAAGGTCCTCTTTCACTCTCCCCTCACACTGTGCTGACCACAACGCTAATTCAATGCTAGCGCTGAAGATACGCTCGCTGCATGCTGATCGTAAATCCCCCTTTCCTGTACTTGAAGCTTCCTGCTTGATGATACTTCTTTCCTTTGATTGTTGAATGGGGGTTTTTTTTTAGTTGTTATTTTCTTTGTTTAGAGGGGGGGAGGGGGACTTGATCTGTAAACATTAAATATTGAAGTACCTTTTCCCCTTGGTTCATTTAGCTCTTTCATTCCAGGGTGGTTGCCAGAAGTCAACAAAGAAAGCCATTGGTTTCTCTGAGAGCTAGTCACACATGTAACACCTCTCTGATTTGAGACCTTCAGTCAGAAACTCACTATGAAGATGTCATTCTTAAAACGCTGAATTATAACCGGAAATGGCTTTTCCTGTAGCCATGAAAGTGGCTGGCAATGTCAAACTGGCATAACAACCAAAGCAGCCACCCTGTGAATTATTTGTTGTTATGATTTTTGGCAACCTTTTGTGTTCCAGCCAAATGCCGAAAATACTTATTCTGAGACTTCATTGATGAGTCAAGAGTGGAACAAAGGCTGCCTACTTTCCTCTCCACGGCTTTTGGAGGAAAGACAGATGCCGGAAATTGTACATCAGTTAGAAAAAGAATGGACGGAGGATATTCCTATGACAGCTGCAAAAGATGTGCAAAGAGAGGCAGACACGCCATGGAGAATAGACATTGAGTCCCCATTTGAGAGAAACGACCAAAGTGTTAAAAAGATTGCTTCCTTTGAGACCATTGATGCCAATGGAAATGTTGATCCTCTTTGTTTATTTGAAACATTGGACACACCAGTAAATTATTGTGGCAATGATCCAGATGATGTGAGTGAGCAAGAAAGTGAAATCTCATTTTTGAGTCCAGATACCATAACTGGTGATATAATTTTGATTAATAAGACTGATTCAGAATCAGACTCTATTGATATTGAGTCCATTGAAGATTCTGAACACCCTAAAGAAACTGATCTGATTGATTTCAAGGAAATGTAAGTACAGATGTTTCTTTTCTGTAATTTACAATACTTTAAAGTTTTATTCTGTGCTATGAGTGTGTGATTTCAAGGTCTTGTTAAGAGTATACTTAGGAAAAATATATCTTATTTTAGATATGCAGGGAGGATATCACGCACTAAATCTGGACTTTGGAGATGCAATATTTGTAGTGCTGAGTATTCAAATCTTAGTGCATTGAAGAAACATATTGCCCGGCATTATTCTGGCTCTCTTAATCAATGTGGGGAATGTGAAGCTTGTTTTGAGACATCTGATGCCTTGGACCTCCACCAGATACACCATATTACCTCCTGTTTGGTTCTTGGTCACACTTGTCATCATTGTTATAGATCGTTTCGACTCAAGCATATATTGGAGAAGCATCTAGCCACTGAGCATGTGTGTGCTAGTAAACTGTGAGTTTCATTCTATAATTGACCTAACAATGTACTTCTTTATGTATTTGCTTTTTTATTATTGTATTTTGTTACTTTGTTGTTATTGCAGTAAATCCGGAACAAAGAAATTTCGTGAAACTTGTGGTAAATGTGCAAGGGTCTTTTACTCAAGTTTTGAAATGGAAAATCATGATGAATCATGTGAGGACCTAGTTTTTGAATCAGATGAGGAATCTTCGGAAGAAAATTTCCCTTTCACAGCATCAGAGGACAACAAAACAAAACTTTTAAAACTGTGTCATTTATGTAAATTGAGTTTTGATAATACGAATCAGATAGTATTACATTGCAAGTTGGTTCATAACAATGATGTCCCATTGAAATGTGATGTGTTTGAATGTCACAAAACGTTCAAAACTGCTAAATCATTTTTGGACCACAGGAAGATTCATGATCCTGCATTTCTTTGTAATATTTGTATGAAATATTTTCACCATAAGAGTAAACTTGATGACCACATGAGAATACATTCTGGTGAGAAACCATTTAAATGTTTGCTCTGTCACAAGTCATTTAGTTGTCAAAAAGGACTAGCACATCATAAAAATAATCATTTTAAACCTTTTAAATGTGAATTCTGTGGGATGGCCTTTGGATCTAAATTTAATCTTAGTAGACATAATAATATCCATCATACAGAACGTAGGATTCAGTTTATTTGTGAGGTTTGTGGTTCTATCTTCAATGATAAACACACCCTACAAATGCATATTTTACATCAGCACCAGCAAAACTGGCACTGTGTCATATGCAGAAAAGTTTTTCATAGTCAAGCTAGTTACGAGAAACACCAATTGTTACATGCCAAAAAGAGTCCAATTTTATGCAAAATTTGTTGTCAAGTATTTTTTACTAGGGAGGCACTAACTAAACACAGTAAGAAGCTTCACGCCTCATCACCGTTTGCTTGAGCAATGCGTTACAAAGTAACTAGTCAAAAAGCTGTGATAATTAATTCTATTCGAATTGCAATTAATTTCCAATTTGTAAGAAAATTATGAATTAATATAGAAATGTTATTATTTCTTCTAAAAAAAAAAATATCCAAAATTGGTTTGCTAATAAACATAAAATGAACTTGATTGATATACCTTTCTTTTCTCAGTTATGCATATAGAGTACGTACTGGATTTCTCGTTACAATTGTGAAGATTTTTTCAGGTTCCACTTGCATATTCCTTTTTTCCTGGTTCTATTATGCTGTTGTTCTTGTCCCAGACCTAGAATGTTAAACAGAAGCATGTCATGTGAACATAGTAATAAGTCTATTTTAAAACAAGTGAAAATTAATTCCCTCTTACCATGTCACCGCAGTCAGCTCTGACTATTTCATGAACATCATTTTCAGGTTGGTTGGTAGTACACACAACTTCCATATTAGATCTCAAGTCCTCAATTTTATTTAGAACACTAAATGGACAGTGTACCATTTTCCTAGAAAATTGAGCTTTTTGCCCCAATTGAGCACTTGATAGAATGTGACGGTGGAAAGGTTTGGGAATGGTATGACCGTCATAATGTAGACCTGCCAATGTAAATATGTTGTAAGAAAGAAAATGTAAGCCAAATGCTTACAAGTATGAGTAGAAGTATTGATGGAATTACAGGTAGAGGATTTGAATGCTGGAAAATGGAAGAAAGAGCCAGCATTAGACTGTACTGATAAGGCTAATTCTGTGGATGAACTAAGCTCGGCTTCCTTTTCTCCAACTCCATCATTTCTTCGACTTGCTTCTCTAAAAATGCTACTTGTTACATCCTTTGCCAGAGCCTCCGGAAGGTTGTGAGCCAGCTCTGTTCAGCAGAAATTAAGTAAGGAAAATCAATATTATTTTTCAAATGAAAAAGACAACCTAGATTTGTTTCACCATACCAGATATGCTACTGACGAGTTGACTTGAAGGCATTAAAGTGGGACAAGCTGAAACCTTTTTCTGGTGTTCCTCAAACTTTTTCATGAAATCCAATGTTACGACTGATATTTTTCTTCCATTAAAAACGCCTAGGGAATGAAATAAAATTAATGCTCGCTACAGTCTTTCTTAAGTTTCTTGCCAAAAGCATGTCTGGGACATTACGTAAATTGTGGGCACTAGCCAAAATTCTGTTGCAGTTCTTGTAATCAAGAACTACAGGGTTGTCTCGCATGTCAAGCTCTTCTAATGTTGGGACAACATTGAGAAAGGCCTGTAATTTTGTAACATCTTTCAAGTTGTTGCTAGATACCAAAAGTATTCTTATTCTGTCAAGTCCAACGAGATCCTCCAGAGATGTTAGACCATTTCCTTGAAGGTTTAATACATTCAAGGTGTACTGCATCAATATTAAAGTAGTAAGTTAAAATAAAATTACATTATTGTTTAAATGCAATTCATAATAATGCTCATTGAAATTCAAATGTTTACCCCTAATGCAGCAATGCTTCGGGGATCAAACATAATCTCTTCGCCAGGACAAAGCTTTTGGTGTTCTACATGCAGCTCTTGTAGGCATTTCAGATTTTCCAAACCCTCTACAACTGATATACTGTTGTGGCCTAAATACCTGCAGCGTCAAAAAGCAAAAACAAAAACCAATGAAGCATTTATTTTCCAGTATGAGGTATTATTTATCAGAACAATGATCCTCACAACTTTTGAAGAGCAACTAGGCCATCAAATCCGTTCATTTTTAAGATATTGTTCCTTTGAAGATACAGATGAGTTAGCTGAGTTGCAAACTCAAGGTTCTCTACCCTTTGCAGTTGGTTATTTTGTAAGTATAAAACTTTCAAATTTCTGCAGGCCGATATGTCCCCCTATTTCAGTCATTTTAAGGAAGAAATAACTATTAATATTCTTTTTGATTTAACACAATTTAATGCAGCAAAACTTACTATAGAGTCTATGTATTGATCATTCAGATACAGATGTGTCAATTTCCTTGTATGTTCTTTTGGATCTTTATTATGCTTGGCAGCATTTTCTGAACCTTTTCTGGATAAGTAATGTAATGTCACTCGCACCATTTTGAAAGAAAATAACTAAACTTGTTGTCATGGAAACAAAATAATTGACTACCCTGCTGGGAACAAATTACAGTACATTTATTGATGCTGGTAAAAGAATATTTTCATGGATCTATAGAATGTTGAACCTTTTAGCAAGGGACCAACTTTATGTTTTTGCAAGCTATAAGTTTATTTTTTTTAATCTTAATCTGTGTTTAGTGTTTTCACCTATTCGCATTTTGGCGCGTATGCCAACTTCAGCACGGCTGCCAACAGATTGATTTGGTCGTAAGGCTTAGCACAGACACATAGTTTGCGATGCTGTATGATCGTAATCGCGCCTTATTAATCACGATACTGCGCAATCGTACCTACACATACCAATGTAAAACGCACTCCATATCTCAATAACTGAGGAAGCAACGAAAAGCCAAATGCCAATGCCCATGTCGTAACGATACCGGCTTGTGTGCCATTTCCCCCTCTTTTTCGTCTCCCTTCTTTCCATCGTTCAATGTAAGAATGGTACTGCTAAGCGTGGCGGGGATATGGACAGTCGTTCCATTGTTTCGTCCGTGCGACTATCGACAGGACCTATGAAGCTCCTGCCCCTGAATTCCCGCCGCTTTCTGTCAGTTCAGTAGTCCTCCATGGGCAAGTTTGTACTTCTACTTACCACCAGTCGAGCCGAATAAATGTAAGTTTTGGTTTACATTTGCTTTAAGAGTGTACTCGCTGGAAGAGAATAGGTAATCTTGCTACCAATGTCATATCCCTATCTAGTAATAGTTGGGTAGCCTTTCTCGCGCACCTATCTCTGTGATTCATTTTCCCTCCTGTAGGCAGAGTACGATGAACGGTTAGGTCACTAATTTCTATGTGAATATTATGTTGAATGGAAACTTGACAAATGTGAGAGAGGACATTCTTTATTCCGTACTAGTTTTACTCGTTCAGTCACTCAATTTATATGTACTTTCATGCCTTTTCAGAAAATTGATTTGTATTTGGTGTAATTATTTATCTGCTGTACCATGGAAGTAAGTGAAAACACATCTGAAGGCGATCGCGAACTCAGCCCAAATGTCACGAATGAGAAATGTTCAACCATGGAAACTGGAACAGAAAAAGGATATGGAAGTGGTGAGAGTTCCTCAGATAGCTCAGCTCGTCAAACTCCTACGTCAGAGAGTAGCTCTGACAATGCCAGCTCTTCAAACGGACTGCATTCATCTGAAAATCATTTAAATGGAAACCAGAGAGCACCGGGTGGTGCTCCCATTTCCGAGATTGATGCAGTATTGCAGGAAGAGTCCAAGCGCTTGGACAAGGTGATGTCACCGTCAAAGAAGAATTCTGAGGAAGTCAAAGTTCAGGTAAAATACAGGAATGAGTACAAGGTGTTGATGTGTAGCGGCATGCTTGAATCAAAGTGTCTAGAAATAATTTATTTCAATTCTTCCAGTCCATAGACAAGGAATTACAGTACAAAAGACTTATTGAGCTTTTGACCAAGAGTCAGTTTTATACAGAGTTTCTAGTGAAGAAATTAGGCGAAGATTCATCTACCACAAAGATAGTGAGAGGGTAATAATATCAATAGCTTTGCCTTGGTCAATTTTAGTGATGTCATGATGAAATTTGTTCCCTCTTATTTTATTTTTGCAGTGGTTCATCACCACAGAAAGGTAGAAAGAAAGCGGCTCCCACTAAAGGTCAGCAGCAGGTTTTGGCCATTGCTGCTGATATTATTTCAAAGGTATGAAAAAAGCGAGCTATGAAGCAGACTTTCCAAACTTAATCGTAATATTTACCCAATCCAATTTGATGTATTTTTAACCATTGGTTGTGTTTTATAGAAATCAAATGATGAGCCTATCCCTGAGGAATCTGTCAATGAGGATCTGACAGTTGGCCAAACTAAAACCCTTGAAAATGGACTAGAAGTTCCACTGAGTCAGCCAAAGCTTTTGACTGGAGCATGCCTCAGAGATTACCAAATGGAAGGTCTCAACTGGCTAAAGGTGTGTATCAAATGCATGTTATTGTTGTTAAAATATAATGTGATTTAATTGATTTTTTCTTTCTGTTACTTCTTTAATTTATGTTTGAATGATTCCAGCTCTTATTTGAAAATGGTGTGAATGGTATATTGGCTGATGAAATGGGGCTTGGCAAAACCATTCAAGTCATTGCTCTCATTTCATTTTTAGTTGAAAAAAATGTCCGTGGTCCTTTCTTGATTATAGGACCTCTTTCAACTTTACCCAATTGGGCTATTGAATTTGACAGATTTGCTCCTCAGGTAAGCCTTTGTTGGCGGTAGTTTTGTTTGGTGAAAGTACCTGAAATTAACAATTATCTATCTATTTAGATCCCTTACCTTGTGTATCATGGGTCTGAAGACAAACGGGCTGCTGTGAGACCAAAAATGAATCGCAAAATGGTTGTAGAGGGACACAAAGTTTATCCTGTTATAATCACATCATATGATTATCCTCTCAGAGATGCAAAACATTTGAGGAAGATGAACTGGCGATATATTATTATTGATGAAGGACATCGCATAAAAAATCACAACAGTCAACTTTCAAGGTATGTTCTGTGTTGGGGTGTATTTTTATGTTAGTTGTCGTAACAATAATACATGCTCATATGTTTTCTAGGGCTCTGAGGACCTATCAATCAGCAAATCGCCTGCTTCTAACTGGAACACCTCTTCACAACAGTCTAAGTGAACTGTGGGCTTTGCTAAATTTCCTGGTTCCAGAAATATTTGATGACTTGGAGATATTTGAATCATGGTTCCGCCTTGAGGACCTGGCGAGTGAAGATGGAAGTGAGAAAGTTCTAGAAGAAGAAAAGAAGAAAAATGTTTTATCAACTATGCACAAGGTAAGAATTTTGTTTTCTCAACTAAATTTTATTTAATGTGACGAGCTATAAAAAGACATGTCTCTGTCTCTGATTAGATCCTTTCACCTTTTATGTTGAGACGAGTCAAATCTGAAGTTAAGTTAAATCTACCTCCAAAGAAGGAGATAATTGTTTATGCTCCAATGACTCCTATTCAGTTGGATCTGTATAGGGCTGTCTTGGACTACAATTTAACATTTCTAGCAGACAAAAAAGAGGTAAGTCAGTGTCTTAAATTTCATCTAATGTTGTTTCATCATTTTTTTGACTTGTATTCAACTTTATTTTTGTAGGAAAACATTGTTCTTGAGAACGAAGATGGTACACGTTCCAAACGCACTTGCACCACTACGAAAAAGTTTTATAATCTAAATGAGCTGTTTCATGCTGAGGATGAATTAGAAGCAGCAGGACCAGCGGAGGATAAGTGTGTATACTTCTTTGAATCTTGAAGGATGAGAACTCGCTGGATTAATTATCATACAGTCAATGTTATAATTTTTTATGCCCTAGGAAAATGTTACTGGTTGAAGACAAAGAGAACAGTAAGTATGCAATCCGAGTGAAAATGCAGAACCCTGCTATGATGTTAAGGAAGATTGTGAATCATCCTTATTTGGTTCAGTACCCTCTTGAACCAGGCACTGTCTATGCTCGTATTGATGAGGATCTTGTCAAAACTTCTGGCAAAATGTTAGTTTTAGATGCAATGTTGACGAAGTTAAAAGGCAGAGGTCACAAGGTTTGTCTTCTTTTCATCTCCTATGCTGCCTGCATTTTGTGCGTAGGCTCAAATCCTGTAATTTTAACTTCATTGTTTCAGGTTTTATTATTTAGCACATTTACTAGTCTCATTGATATTTTAGAAGATTACTTATCTCTGCGCTCTTATCGATATGTGAGACTTGATGGACGAACTGATCTAGAGGAACGACAGAAAGCCATTAAGGAATACAACAATGATCCAGATATGTTTCTTTTCCTGATATCTACCCGTGCTGGTGGTTTAGGAATCAATTTAGCCTCAGCTGATACAGTCATACTATTTGACAGCGATTGGGTAAGTTCACTAAGGAAGATTGAAGGCTATGGCAACTTGTTTGTATGCTTACTTCATTTCATCTGAACTTTGTCTGTGCAGAATCCTCAAGTAGATCTGCAGGCTCAAGACCGCTGTCATAGAATTGGTCAAACTCGACCTGTTGTGGTTTACCGTTTTGTTACTGCTGGCACTGTAGATGAGAGAATCGTTGTCAGAGCAGCAGCCAAACGGAAACTGGAAAAAATAATTATTCACAAGGGTACGAAACTTAACTGTACAATAGAAGTATAGTATAACTCTGTTAATTCAATGTAGCTAAAACAACACCCTTCTTCCTTTGATTTTCCATATGTATCTCTCTTCTTTTCATTATTAAATTTCTGTTGTTCATATATTGATAAATAAATAAATAATTTCAGGAAACTACAGTGCTTTACAAAAATCAGAAGACAGTGCAGTGGACTTAGAAGAATTGCGGAAACTATTGCAGTCTCGTGATCATCAGCGAGTCATTCACCCCAATGGTTTTGGTAGGTTAAAAGCTTTGCTCCATTGAAGTAAAGTTGATCTAATCTCAATTGCTATGTCATTGCCATGTGTTTTTCTTTCCTCCAGTTTTTTCTGATAAAGAATTAGAAGATTTGTTAGATAGATCTAATATGATCAATTCTGAAGCTATTTCTTCTACTTCTGAGGTTCAAGACCTCAAAGAAAGAAACTTCAAGGAAGTATATGGATATACTGGTACCAAACAAGTTAACAGTAATAGTGAAATGAAAAGTAGTGTTCATATTGTCGATGAGGACAGTAATGATGCTCCATGTGAGGTAGCTCCTATAAGGAGAAGTCCAACCAAGTCAGCTTCTTTTTCTGAAACTTTTTCCAATAATACAAATTCTGGTAATAATAAATGGTTTTTATTTTTTATTATGCCTCAATATGTATCTTAGCATTGTGTAACATTCATACATTGCTTTCATTTTACAGAGGCTCAGCATGTGATTGATTCAGGAACAGTCAAATCAACAAAGAGAAAACTATCCACTGAGTCTAGTACTGTTGGCGGAAAGTCAAAGTATTCCTGCCTGGAAGAAGAAAGATCTAATTCTCCAGAAAATGATACTAGAGCTAACCATTCCAAGACTGATTCTCGTAAAACTCGATCTACCAAGAGAACTAAATAATATGCTGAAGTTTAAAAGCAGTTCTGTTTAATTCACTTTAATTTATTTACTGTATAGTTTTGTTTATTGCACAGCTACTTGCCACCTTGTAATTCAATATTTATTTTATTTTATATCTTAGATATGACTTTGCAAATACAATATTTATTTTTAAAAAGAAAGTGTTTTCATTTTTCTGCCTGCATTAAAATTGCCATCGTTGAGTTACCGAACTTTGGGGCTGTTCCCACAATTCTGTCCCTTCAGTTGAAGTTGAAGAAGCAGGCCAGGCCAGGCTGGCGGGGAAGGCCAACAGCCTGTATGTCGGTCACATCTTTTGATACCTCGAACAGCCTTATCATCTCGGTTGTTGCCTGGTGGGGCCGCGGCGGCAGGGCAAAGTCATGTATACACAGCGATATTAGCAGCAATTCAGGGCGATGCTACGAGGCGGCTGACAGGATAGGACCGGATAGGACACGCCACGCTCCGCCACGCCTCCAGCCCAGCGACATCAGCTGACGCGCACGCCACACGCCACGCCGCGCCCCACGCCGATCTCAAACACTCCGACGCCGTCCGTCGCGCCGCACCCAGGTCATTGCGTCTAGTGAACTGGTGGATCGCTTACGATGGCAAACAAACAGGAGGATCCCGCTGTTACGAATTTCCGAGAGTACCTCCGAATCCCTTCGGTCCATCCCGATGTGGATTATGGTAAGGTTTTCTAATTGAATGCTTCTAATAATTCCGACCGACCTCGCTGCAGGCAAACAAGGGGTTTGGCGTTTGTTGCTACATACAATGTCAAAACACGTTACTTTTGTATCTTTTTCGAGCAACTACTGGCTAGAATCTTAGGCGTTTTGTCTTCATGAAAATGTACGTTTAACCTGTCATTTACATGCGTCATTTATATGATTTCTTATTCAACGTTTGGGTTGTGTGAAAGATTCGTGATAGCGGCACGCATTGGTTATATTTTTATCCACCGTCATTATCTTTGAAACGGTGCGGCTTACAGCCCAGCCTGTTTCCAAAATTAATACCCATCAATTTTCGTATTGTCTTTTCTCATATGTTCAACAATTTAGGGAAATAAGTATACCGTCGCAGGAAAAACGTCGCCTATTCGAGCACCTTCGAGCTCATCCCCAACAACATGTTCTCACCCACCCTGCTAATTATTACAATTTGATGATTGCTCTTAAAAGATGAGTTTGCTATTCTTTTCCCCAGCTTTCCTGAACTTAATTCAATGTATGCCTCCGTTTCGTTATTTTAGTCTTTAGGCTGCTATTTTTGGACTTTTTTAATCCACCCCCACTCCCTGTTGCCATGGTAGCACACTTAAGGAAACCTTTCCATTCTTATTTGATTCTAATGCATAAGGCAACAATTGGCTCCTCGATTGTCACCCCAATGCTAATTCCTTATTATTAAATTTTACCATAGTTTCATGTTGTGCTTAAGTGCTTAAATATTTATTTATTCTTTTAGATGCATGTGTCAGTTTTCTGAAGAAGCAATCAGAGAGTCTTGGTTTATCCTACAAAATATATTATGCTGTGCCGAAGAAGCCAATATTTGTTATGACATGGGAAGGAAAAGAACCAAAACTACCCACCATTCTCCTTAATTCTCACATGGATGTTGTGCCGGTATTTCCAGTAAGTGTGAACAAACACATGGGCAATTCGTATTAAGGACACGTGAAAGCACGCACTTGCTTGTCATTTCTTATTATTTTGAAAATCTCCAGCTCATTGCTCTATTGTAGGAGAAGTGGATACACCCACCATTTGCTGCAGAGAAGGATGAAAATGGAAATATATATGCTCGGGGTGCTCAAGACATGAAATGTGTTGGTATTCAATATCTCGAGGCAATTCGAAGGCTTAAAAAGAACGGCATCCAGTTGCTACGCACTGTGCATTTGTCATTTAATCCTGGTAAGATAGTGTTTATTATCCCTCCTATCTTGAGGAAACAAACTAAATATTTAAACTCAAATTACACACCTAAATTTGTATGCAAGTGATAAGTCTACTGATAAGGTCATACTCATGACTCTCAATGATATAGCTCTTATGGTATTATCTTATCTATCCCATGCATTAAACTTTCTTTCTTCGTCATTGTTTTCTCCTAGACGAAGAGATTGGTGGAAGAGATGGCTTGGCAAAGTTTGTCCACATGCAAGAATTCCGTGACCTTAATGTTGGCTTTGCTCTTGATGAAGGCATGGCAAGTACAGGAGATCATTTTATTCTCTTCCCTGGCGAAAGGTCTATATGGCGTAAGTATTAAATATTTTCACTTTATGTTGATACTGACTTATTTTGTTCTGTCTTTTTCTGTAAAGGCTTTGCTGAATTTGCAAATTTCTCTTTTTTCTTTCTTCAGAAATCCATGTGCACTGTCCAGGCCAACCTGGTCATGGATCACTTTTGCCATCCAATACTGCCGGGGAGAAACTCAGGGTAGTCATTGATAAATTTATGGATTTCCGTCAGAGAGAGAAGAGCCGCCTTGAAAGCAACTCAAATCTTAAAATAGGGGATGTAACTACCATTAATCTCACAGTGGTGAAGGTAATTAATATTTTTATCCTCAAATTCTAAATTTCCCAACCATAGACAATTTATCATCTGTTTGTTCTCTATTTATAGGGTGGGGTGCAGACTAATGTAATTCCCGCAGAGATGGTAGCATGTTTTGATGTAAGATTGGCTTGTGATGTGGATCATGACAAGTTTGAGAACATGATAAAAAGCTGGTGTGCTGAAGCTGGTTCTGACGTAAGGATTGAATTTGAGCAGAAGAATCCTAAAATTGAAGTGACTAAGACTGATGACTCCAGCCCTTGGTGGGTGGCCTTCAAGCGTGAATGTGATGCTATGTAAGTATATTCCTTAATAGGGGGAATAAAAGATTGATAAAATTAATTAAGAAGTGACTTTTCCAATGACAACTGGAAAGTCTGTTTTGAATTAAAACACTCAATTGTGAGATTTTATTCATTCCAATGTTCTGAGGAATGTTATATTTTATCTGTAGCTTTTAAAATAACATTATATACAAGTATCTTGTATTTTATTTGGCTATGGTCTTGCAGTGCAATAGAGTTGAAGATAAACATATTTCCAGGAGGTACGGATAGCAGTTTCTTACGTGAGGTTAGTCTTGTTTTGTCCAACAGCACATATATGTTTTCTTCCACGAAGCTTGGTTAATTTGCACACTTTTTTTATGTACAAGATTGAAAACAAATTATCACCTACCATGCTGTATGATTTAAGTGGTATTGTAGATGACCCTTGAAATTTCTCCTTTGACAATGTTCATTTTCCTCTTTTTTGTCATCACTATTTCCTGTAGTATGCTGAGCGACACCATTTCATCTGATTTTCAAATCGCACAGTTTCTGTTTTTGGATGCTTGATGTAGTGATTTTTAGAGATCCACCTTAAACCTGCTTGTTTATACAAATACCAAATTGTATCACTCACATGGTACTGTATATTTATTACAGGAGCTTGAAAATTATCCAAGTAACATGCCCTGGTGCCACCGATTCACGTTACGTGAGACAGGTGATTTACTCCTCGTGGTCGTATTTTTGTGCCCCTAAACATTCTTTCCTTTGTGTAGAATGCCTATGTAAAAACTTGGAAAATTTGGAGTGGCTGCGGGTATTGCTTATATTTCAAGCTTTATAGCATCCTGAGTACTACTACCTGATAAGGCAGTCAACATCAGAAACAAATAATTTGGCATGTTTGGTTTGGGCTTTCCTCTTGCTTTTAGGTTGATTATGTAGTTCTCTGAAGATTGTATTTTTTGCTTGTATTTGGCAAGACTCAGTAAGAATTATAAGTGTCCTCAAATTTTGTATTGAGAAGACGACATTGAAAAGCCTTCTGCTTTTATCAGCATTGAGAGACAGTGTTGTTACACATATTATACAGTAACCATAATGGTCTGAATATAAGCCTTCCCCGCATATAAGCCCCCCTACCTGTTGAAGCCCCACTTTGGGGGTAAAAGGTCCATATAAACTCATACAAACAAGGCCCCGCATGTAAGCCCCCCTCTTGTTTCTAGAGAGTTGTTTTTAGTAAAAATCGGGGGCTTAAATTCAGACCATTACGGAACTTTACTTTTTGAGATTCCAGCTGGTGATATGTGTAATAAATAAACCACAGTTTTATCCATTTTTTGAATATTTATTTAGATGTGTTTTTCTTTGTAGGGGCCTCAAACTGTCAAAGGAGATCTTTCCTGGTGGCACAGATGGAAGATATATTCGATATGTGAGAATCATTCATTATTATAATTTTTTAAATTGTTTTTTTGTGAATTTAACTCAAAATCTTGAGTGTTTTTGCCCTTTGTTTTGTCTGAATCAGCTTCAAAGATTCATGTTTCCCTCTTTTTGACTTCCTTTTGGGTGTTCATTGTTTGAATGCAAGTTTATGTGGACACTTAGTAAAAGTATGACTTAAGTTTGTAGTATACTTTTACTCTGTGATGCTTACCTGCTTTAATGCAAAAATTCAACAAATTTGTGCCCATGTCAAAAGATTGCTATAAATCGAGCTTTTCACATTATATATTTCCCCAAAGTCAATTACAGTTCACCTGCCAATGTTTAATTGTCTCTATTCTGTATTTTTTTCAGGTGGGCATACCAGCTTTTGGATTTTCCCCCATGAATAACACACCTGTTCTCCTGCATGATAATGATGAATTTCTGAATGAATCCATCTTTCTGCGAGGGATTGAGATTTACTGCAAGCTGATTCCAGGAGTTGCTAATGTTGCAGCTTGAGGGTAATGGTTGTATATACCTACGTTAACACAATAATGGTTAATTTTACAAATCATGAAGTTGATCTTGATTTCATGTTTGTTTTTTTTGTAGAATTTGGAACAAGAAAAGTCAATTTTGCTGAAAACAAAGTTTTGAAAGTAACTGAAACTGATCCACATTTACTGTATCAGCCAGGCAAATCTGGATAAGTAAGTATTAATTGTTAACGAAAAATGAGATATGGTGCCATCTTTATTTTGAGTCATTTTGTGGGCTGCAAGGAATACTTTTCAATCATCATAGACCAGATTTTTCCTCCCTCTGCATACTCCTTGTAAACCTGCGTGAACATCGCTAAACATGTGTTTTTACTGAGCGAGTAGTGTGGTCATGGTGCCAAATGTTATCCCGCTTTGAAGTCACATAGTAGTACCCAGTGTTCTTATTATGGAATGGTTTTAATCTTATCTTGTAAGATGTGTTATTGCAAGTGATAGTCATTATCAAAGAGATATTTTAATGCATGTAAAATATATTTTATCATTGTTAAAAACCTTTCCTTTAAACTGGAATTCCTCTATTGTGGTGTTATTTTGTAATACAAGTTGACATTTAAAATTCTATTTTAATCCTATTTCTTATAAGAATTATTCCTGTTTATTCTTCCAATGTTCCTGAATGTTGTTTTGCAGCATTATTTCTTACAACAGGAAAGTCCTGCATATCCCTATGAACCAAGTCCCCTTCTTAGTATGGAAAAGAAAATCATGACAAGGTGAAATTTGATTGTGCTACTCAGAATTTTAAAGATTGTGCTTCAGTCTAGTGTCTCCTTCCCGCCTTTGTGTGTTGAATGGGCATTTCCCCCTCCCTGCCCCTTCCCTTAGTGCCCAATCCGGCAACACTGCGCAAGCGCAGCGCGGCGGCGTAGTCGGGCGGCACTTCGCCGACTACAACCACAACAACCTTGTGCCAGCGGCGGGGAGGTTGGTGTGTTATTGTTTGGTGGTGCTCGTTCTGGTATAGGTGCATCTTTAAATGCCAACTATCACAGTTGCGTAAGTATCTCCAAAATTCGATCATAATTTTTCACACGCACACGTTTAATTTTATGGGCTCTAGTTGTGCAGAGAAGTAGAAATAAATATAATTAAGTCTGGGAGGTTTTGCCGCCGAAGCTGCCGCCATGTTGCTCGGGACGGTCGTTGTTTCCCGGCGTATCCCTCCTCGAATGTTACCACCAAATCTTTGTTTTTACGACGCATTTAGCGTGTAGCCGTCTTTTGGCAGGCTTTTTATTTTGAAACCATTCACTTTTAAGTCATTTCTTTCCGAACTATGCCCTGCATATGTCTGTGGACTATAAATTGAAGCTTTATTTACGTTCTTCAACATGTGCATCGTTTTCATTTTAAAATGGCCTCTACTAGTCCGCTGCTCTCGACCAATGAGAGAGCAGCGCCAAAGCCACATGATTCAAACCGACCAATAGCAGCCAGGCTATTTCGAATTTCAGCTCGTCTTTGTTCGAGCACGAAACCGTCCCGCAGTCCGCTCGGCAAGGAAAGAGAGAGAGATCGTGCTATGAGAGAACGTACAAAATTTAGAAATACAGTGAATTTATGGTGAGATTGTCGCCGGCTCTGTTTCAGCCCTATTCTAAACTTAGCGGGTGAGTTGTATTTCAAGTTTTATTGAGTGTAAAGCTGCATATTCGCTATGAAAAATCATTTTCTTGGTGCGATGACAAGAGATGTTTCGTTGTCGAGCGCGCTCTTTCTGCATTTGAATGTGAGAGGCGCGGGGGTGTTTGTTTTGATCCGACTTTTTCCGATGGCCCTTGATGATGGACTTATTAATATTTTATTATTATCCTCTCTATTACTAGAGTTGGTTACGATTTTGAATGATTGTGCGTTCTTTTAATTCTTAAAGTGAAAAAAATATTAGGTTGCCCTCCTGTTGTCTGTAACTATGGCAACATTAGCTTGAGTGAACATAGTTTTTTATCTCTTATATGTTTGGAAACTAGAGAACTTTTCGACCTATCTCATTGTTGACTACTCTTCAATGCACTTAAATTAAATTTCATTTCATTTGTGGAGTGAAAATCGGTATCTGTGTATGATACTTCATGTTTTAATATCAACAATAACAAGGTTGAAAAGGGGTGCTAGGGTTTATACGAATCAATCCGACTGCTGACATTTACCATCCAATGTGTGTTGTTAACCCATGAATGATTTTTTTTCTTGACCATGGTTTCACTTCACATTGGACCAACACATCCTTGTATTTGTTTTCTGCGTCAACGCTGGCTCGACGACAACTTACTTGATTTTATTCTGTGTTATATCTGCGCTCCCGCTCCTCTGTCTTAAAATGAGTAGACAAGCAGGCTTTTATTTCGTTAATTTTCCTTAATCTGTGTGCGTATTTTTATTGCATTGTTAGAAGCATTGTGGAGATTTGTAACTGCTGATAACTGACTGGTAATGTTCTATAATGTCACTATGATGGCGGTGGCTGGTGTCCCAGACTTAAAAAACATTCTACAGAGTGTCACGAGTTCATGTGACAGATTCATCCACTTCCACTGGACACGGCGGTCTCCCCCGACCTATCCCACCCCTTGTGGACTCTTTCTTGCTCAGGGGCGGGAGCGATGCCGCGACTGTCCCTTTACCCTCCCCCCTTAGAACCGTTTCTGCTCTTGCAAGATGGACCTCTCAAACCCCTCGCGAGCGTTCAGCCGGGACGAGGAGGCCTGCGTTAGAAATGTAGAATCACCCGCTGCAAGCGGTGGGGTTTCGCTATCGATCCGGCTGGCGGCCGGGCGGGCCGGCTGGTCCTGGTTCCATCCCTGAGCAGCAGAGGAAAGCTACATGATGTGGGCAGAGAGAGAGAGAGGTGGATTAAATCGGTCCGCTCTCCGGGAAGTGTCGGACTCCGGGAGAAAAGAACATGAGCCGCTCTCCCTTGTAAGCATCCACATCAGAATAGTGTAAATCCCTGGGAGGTGTCCGCCCGCCGTGGGGCTTAGTCTAACGGGGCCTGCCCGGCCCGCCCCGGGGCCCCGGGACTGGAGGCAGAAACAGCCCCCCGGCGGCCGGGTGGCCCCCGCGCATCCCCAAGTCGAGCCCCTGCCCTGCCCCACCCCATGACCAAACCGCACCGCTCCGCGCCCGTAGGCCGAGGAGGAGGAGGGTACAGGCGGTCCCTTCGCGAGGGGGTCTTCGCCCTCGGCCGTCGTACAGTCCTATCCCAAACGCACCGTACCCCCCCCCCCCTTTCCCACCATTGGGGGGTGTGGTGCAGACTGAACGCGCGGCTGGCGCCCCCACCCCGCTTCGACCATCAGAGCCCTCGCGCACACACTCTTCTAAAATTGCACCTTGTGCTGCTAATAAATTTCTCGCCGGCCTCTCACTTTTGTCGGGCGGGCCGTGGTACAGTTCATCTGGGTATGGCGGGGCAGCTGCCCGCGCCCGCGAGGGGAGTGTGGTGTTGGCACGAGTGGGTGCGCGGGCACATGCGCACTGAGCCCAGCCACCCCTTTCCACCCCCGTGCTGGGAGGGGACCGGCGGCAACGACCCCTGCTACGGTCGACACCCCCGGCGCGCCGCGGCCCAACGCCCAACGTCACCGAAGGGCTCCGACCCACCCTCAGCAAACAGAGGGCGCGGCTCCAGTGGTACCCGTCCCTGAAACTGGACGCAGCCTTTGCCGAGATCGGCGGACGGAAGGGTTGAAACGAATTCCGCGAGCCACTCATTTGTTCGTTTTTGCACGTCTGTGGTTTTCTGTAGAGTACGGGTCCACAGGGCAAATGTTAATTTTGGGAGGTATTTGAGATGTTCTGTCGGACGGGGTCGGTTTGAGGCGCTTCTTCCCGGCGCTCCGGGCACTTGCTTCTCCATGGCGGCGCCCATGATGGCCGCGCCGGTCCGTCACGGTCACGGGGGCGACAAGGACATCCTGGGCCGGCCGGCACGTCTCATGGCCAGCCCATGGCCCGGCCAATGCCGCCCGCCGCCCCGAGGGGCCTCAAGCGGCCTCAAGCGGCCATGGGGCCCCTCTGCCGGCCCGGCCCCTGCCATGAGGCCCGGCCCGGAGTGAATGCACGCTCTCCAACAAGTTCAAGGACAGTCGGGACGGGCATGGCGGCGGCGGGAGCGGGCGGGCGGCTCGGTACAGCGCGCCTCGGCCCGCCCCGCCCTGCGCCCGCCCTCCTCCCGCCCACACTTGAAGCTCCTGCCCCAGCCCCACCGCGGGGCGCCCGCAGGCGGGTGCGTGGGAGGGAGAGGGGGGCGGTGGTGCGTAAAGGAGGTACCTACACCGGGAAAGGAAGGTGTGCGCCTTGCCATGGAGGTGTTCGGCCGCATGGCAACCGATGGCTATGTTCCTGTCCACTGTCCCGGGCCTCACTTCTACTCTGGCGAAGTGGTTTCTAAAGTGGCTGCTGACCTACATCATCGGTCAGACATTAGCGACAGCGGCAATTGTAGGCTTCCTATTGTCTCGAAAACTGGTTTTGGAAGACGTCTCCCCCACACAACCCTTCCTAATAAAATCTGGCTGGAATACTAATCGGAACTACCTGGTGGCTAGGGAGCCACGACCACCGGCAACATTATGGGGCCGAAAAAGCTGTTCGCGCCAAAACGGGAGGGCCCAAGGCGTGTGGGGCGGAGCGGGAGGGGCGGCAGCCGGCGGCCGAACCCAGGTCGGGGGCCTGGCCGGCCTGGCGCGCTGGCGCAGAGGAGGCGCGGGGCTTTGGGGGCCCAGGTATGTCGGGCCCGCCTTTCTCGGAAAGAGAGGAAGACCAAGGGGGCTTGGCTTGACCGGGGGCGGGGCGGGGTGTCCCGCCTCTGCTGGTCCAGCCCCCCCCCCCCTCTCCTCGGGGGCGTGTCGTGCACGCTTTACTCGGTGTGGTCGTTTTAGCAAAAGTTCCCAAAATAGCAAGATTTTGCGCAACTCCAACGGAAAACTAGGGGGGGGGGGGGGGGGGCGCAGCGCGACGCCGCTCACGGACGGGCCCTTCTCTTTTCCCACGCATCGTGCATCTTGTGCACCTGAGACTGCCGTGTGTAGCGGAGCGTGGCGAGGACGGACAGCTCGGAGTGCAGCGGGAGGTGGGTCCCCTCCTCAAGGAGGTGGATGCCGGGCCGGAGCAGCAAGTGCAGCGGCTATTGTTGCGAAGAAATGTCCAAGTCATGGCTTTTGCACCCCGCCTTTATCATCGGACAGGGTTTTACCTGCTGGCCGTATCTATTCAAAGTCGATGGAGGCCCCGCATCCCTGGATCGGATTGGTCCGCCGAAAAGAATGAAACGCGGGAAAAATCGACCAAATGTACTTGATGTGCCTTTTGATGCCCTGTTTGGCCACTTTCCTTTTCCAATTCCTACCGACCTGGTCTCTGGTCGGCGGGCGCATGTGGCAGACAAGAGAGAGGGAGGGTGAGGAGCGGCACCGGCCGGCCCTTTCTCGCCAAGAACCTCATCTTTTCAAACCCTCGCGCTCGTGGTTTAGGCAGCATTTGCTCATGCAGTAAGCGTTCTCTGCCGCTCGGTCCAGGCAACTCGCCGGAGAGGGGAGGGGAGGGGACCGGCTGTCTGCCCGCCGGGCCGGCGGGCGAGCAGCAGGCGGACAGGACGGGGAGGGGGGAAGCCGGTCTGGCTCCCCTGGGCTGCGTTCGGAAAGCCGTCGGGCCGGCAAGAGAAGAGGCGGCCGACGCGGTGTTGCTTTCGGAAGCAGCTCTCGCTCTCCCCCTTTTTCTTTTGTTCCCCCTCCCTTTACCGGCCCCTCTCCCTCCCCTTCGCCCGAGCCCAGGGGGCCAGGAGAGGGGCCAGGGATCCACCTCCCTTCCGGTCGTCCGGGACGGTCCGGCCACAGGGGGCCGGTAGGCCGGTGGTCCTACGTACCGATTCCAATCTGTCTGCATGAGGAGCTGGAAATAGATGTATTTTTCAATAAGACAAAGGCAATCATGCAATTAAAACAAATCCCCCCTTTACGCCGAGAAACAGCCGTAGTCTGAGCTGGCAGCACACGTGTTCTTGACTTTTTTTACTACTTTGATTTCTGTAATTGACTGAGCAATAACTATGCTAATTATTGAGATGATTCTGTCTGTATAGACGATAATGCGGGAAAGGAAAGGATTGAGCTGGGGACCCGAATCTTTGAGCGTGACACTTTGTACTATATTGCTTCGCTAAAACAAGAACACGATTTTTAATTTTTCTAAAACGCTCTAAAACTTAGTACGTGTTTTGTTACATAATTGTCGAATCATAGATCAAATCGAACAATAATAGGAATTCCCTCACATTTTCTGTATGTCACCTTGTCAGGGATCTAAGAGACACACTAATGCAATTTCACCAAAAACTATTACACTCGGGTTTAAGGTAGATGAATGCGCTGTCGATATCTTTTTTCGCGTTACTTGTTTTTCTTGCCGTTTAAGCGGTGCTTCATGACAACGCCCCTTTTTCTTGTGTTGCAGAACTGCCTAAAGATGGATCTCTACTTAGGCCAGGACTCGTTGTCGCTGTCCCTCCAGGACATGCTGGACTGCGACATCAAGAGCGAGATGGACTCTGTGCTCGCGGGCACGGACTTGGGCGCGCACTGCCTCAACCTGCCGCCCCTGGACCTGGACGAGGACTCGCTGGGCGTGGGCGCGCACATGTGGTTCAGCGCCAACAGCAACTCGTCCAACTCCAACTTCAACCTGGACTTCGTGGGCGGGGACGGGGCTGCCATGATGGTCAACCCCAACAGCGTCATGCCGCTCACGCTGGTGACGACCATGTCGTCGACGCCGACCCCGCACGCCGCCCGCAGCCCCAGCAGCACGTCGAGCTCCCCGCTGCCGTCGCCCTCGGCGTCCCCGTCGCCGCCCCCGCCCCCGTCGCCGCCAGCCCCCAGCTATGTGCGCACCGTGTCCAACTTCGCCACGGCGGCCACCCTGGCCCCGCGGGCGCTGTCCAACGGCACCCAGTCACGGGTCGTGTCCAGCGTGCGCATTGCGCCGGCGTCGTCCACCGTGTCGTCCGCGGCCGTCAACGGCAGCGCCAAGCTGCACAAGCAAGTGCATCACCTCAGCAACGGGCGCCACCAGGTGCAGGCGAAGAAGTACGCCCACAACAACAACAAGTACTCGGACTCAGACCTCGACAACAAGGCCTACCCCAAGCCAGCCTATTCGTACTCATGCCTCATCGCCATGGCGCTCAAGAACAGCAAGAGTGGCAGCCTGCCGGTCTCTGATATATACAGCTTTATGTGGTGAGTAGTCTGATAATACTTGGTAAAAACCCAGTTAGTAAAGCCCATTTTTGGCACATCAATGTGCCAGTAATGCGCAAAATATGCAGGCCGTGCTACCTGGGAAGTTGCTTTAGTTTGGAGTACTGTGAATCATTTTCTTGTCTGACCATTGTGATAATCTGGCCTATTCTTTGCAGCGAACATTTTCCTTATTTTAAGACAGCTCCCAATGGCTGGAAAAATTCTGTACGGCACAACCTGAGTCTGAATAAGTGCTTTGAGAAAATAGAAAAGCCAGCTGGAAATGGAAGTCAGCGAAAAGGATGCCTTTGGGCAATGAATCCTGCCAAAATTGCCAAAATGGACGATGAAGTTCAAAAGTGGTCGCGCAAAGATCCTATGGCTATCAAAAAAGCCATGATATTCCCAGGTATATCCAAAATATTAATGAAAACATTTTAGTTGCTGTCTCCTTGTCAACATTTGACAATACTAATCGAAATTTATGCTTTAATTCTTTCAGAAAACTTGGAACTTCTTGAAAGAGGGGAAATGAAGATGACAAGTCGTGCTGATTACATGCAAACCAATGGAGATGACACTGAAACATCAGATGAAGAAGTTGATGAGGATGTGGATGAAGATGATGGTACTGGTGCTGCTTCCTCTGAGGATGATGTTGATACAGAAATGGAACTGGACTCTCAGTCTTCAGGGTTTCTCATCAATAATATGCCTGACTCCTTTGAAGAGTCTAGTCTGACTGACTTTGATATTGAAGTAAGTGTTTCAAAAAATTTCTTTTCAGAATCTTCTTATACAATTTCCTTAATTTGTTATACTCGTGTTGAAGAAGAAGAAAATTACAGTGTATCTGCTTTACAGGGCACAGAAGGAATATACGATGAATTAGATGTGCATGAGCCTCTAAAAGTAAGATTAACGCAGTCTAAAAATAGACAGAAGAATACAGTGATAACCATGGGTAGTGCTACAATGCGCAGGACACAATCTGACCCAGACAGGCAAGATGGGTATGACTTTGATTTTGATGAAGAGGAGTTTTCTGGGAGAACTATTCAGGTTTGTAAAACTGAGTAAACTGTTTGTCTTAATTGGAAGATGCCCATATACATCACTGGGAGCAGTGCCTCCTTGTCAGTGCTGAGGTTTTCTGATTTTCTGTTAGTTCAAAGTGGATAGTGTGGATAAACATGGAAGCACCCTCCACTTTGTCGCTAACAGTAATTTAAGGCCACAATACTAACAAAAGGGGAGGTTTGCATGGAAAAGCAGTGTGTTATACTTGGGTGAACACAGAACATAATATTGGGTACAGCACATATTAAACTCTTACTTTTTTCTGCAGGGTAACTATATTTACAAAGTTAATGGCTCATTCACAACTACAACAACAAGTGGCTCCAGGAGAAAGCAGCCTTTGCTTGTTCGAGCTACTGGTCCCTCAGTCATCTGATTCTTTTTGAAGGCAACTTTTGTGTCTTGTATAGACAGACTACTTGAATGAGTCGTATTCATCGAGTGATAATTGATGTTTTTACTCATATTTAACGCAAAATAAGTTAAGATTTTAAGAAATGTTTGTGATTTTGATTTTTGGAAGACAATTGATGTTTTGTTTTTCTACTTAGACAGCTTTGCTGTCTAAGACTAGATCATGCGTTTTGTATTATAGTGTAAAATTTACGACTGTTTCTTGGAGTAGAAAACAATTAGCATTTCATATTGGTGTTTGACTACATCACTCAAATCCATATGACTGTGAAGTCCAAGTCAGTTTTACAACATTGTAGTTTTTATTTTGGTGAGACTGAGAGGCCCTCTTTTGGAGGGGTAGCCATGCTATTTGCATTATTTTCTGTCTCAGCCTACTGTGTGTAAATATGGGATGAGTTCAGTGAATTTAATTTATAAGTGGCTTTATACTTTTCTATGATGAATTTGTAAAGTAAATTTTTACATTAACTTCATTGTTTAAATATGATTTTAGGATTATTGAAGCTGTGTTTAAAGAGAAATGTGAGTGCACCTGCCGAATGCAAAACAATTCTATATGTGATATTTGTGTGTTTGTTCTTGTTTTCTCATAATGGCGTAAACAGGTGGATGCACCTTTACATGCATGTGAGTCAATGTGACTGGTGACCTGTCATTTTCGAATTATTTGGCTGTCTACTCTCTTTGATGGTTTTAGTAGTTTTAATCGGTTTTATTGCTTTTATTTAGTGCCACAGGACTCATTTTTCCTGGACATGATCTTTGTAGCTGTAACTGCTTCCACAGCTGTCAGTATTTTATGACAGCTGTGGTAGCAGTTGTAGTGGGTTTGTCTGGGTAATAAATGATACAATCTTATATGGTCACCACTCACTTTAGCTCAGTGTAAATGTGCTTGTCATCTGTTCTTTTAATCTTAAAAGCCTTTTTATGTGATCACAACCCTGTTGGTTAAGCCACACCCTGGAGTTTTGTCTACTTAAATTATTGGTGAACAATGGACTAGAAGTTAATTCTGTTTATTTTCACAAGTAGTTTGTTAAGGCAGTTTCAACATTCTTAATATCCAGGTTTCATTTTTCGCTTAGTTGATTGTTACCTGTAATCTGCCACCAGTCCAATGGAAAATATTTTATTCACCACTGAAATCAATTTTTCTATTGCTTTGTGATAGTTTTCTTTATGTATCTATCCATCAATCAAGTATTTAAAATACCAATCCACTCATCTCATTTGTCAACTCTTCTCAAAGTCAGTAATGGCTCCATTTTTGTGCTGACAGCAAATCAGAAAATATGTCCTAATCTGTGTGAATTTTCCATGGTATAATTTTAACACCCAAATGGAAATTCCACTAACGTGATGTTAAGCAGAATGCCATTTCTGCCAAGTAATTTTAGATTCATCAATAGTACAAAGTTATCACTGTATGTACAAACTTAATTTGTAAGATATTATATAAATCTTGACTAGATAGTCAAACACTTTTAAAAGTTTTGAGAAGTCTGTCATTTTGTCTTGGTGTTATCCTGTCCACTGCCTGTGAAAAATATTAATTTTGTTTTCAATTTTGCAATTCTGGCACAGTCCTTTCTTTTTCCATTACAGTTTTGTTTTCTAATTTTCCACAATTTTTGTATTTTCATGACATTTTAAGTTTAGTTAAGAAATTACCCAATGGATGATGCCAATGAGAATCAGACCTGAACAGAAATGAAAGAAAGCTGTTCCGTGGCTCACTTGGTCTGCAGACCTTGTCTTGATAAATTTCATTGAATGGAGCCTTTCTCAGCCTATGGACCTTTCTTGTATCAACAAGACGATCTCTCTCCCTCTCTCTCCTGTTCTGTTTTCTGTTAAAGGGTCCACTCTATGAAAACCTGTCGTTTCTGTTTTATTGATTCTCATTTGCATTGTCGGAGGTAGTTGTACAAGACTGATGAAGACTGAATGGCGGAGAGCTTTACCCTGTTGATTTTTAAAAAATGGGTGTTCCTCCAGTAATTTTTTATTGGGTTGGATATTCTTGTCAACATTTCTGTTATTCATTTTAGCCACCGCTTATAGAAAATTTTAGTTGAATACTGTAATGGCATGGAACTTCCTATAAACAGAAAGCTCTAGTTTCTCATGGGGCTACATAGTTAATGTTTGATACAAAATAATTGGTGTCTGATTGTTTTATCAAGGCAGTATTATCTTGCCTGCCGGATCTCACTTGTGTTTTGTGTCCTTGTCAGTTAAATAATGTGCAGTAAGGAAGTAAAAATGCTTTCTATAAATGTTCGAAAAGTGTACTTGAAAATGTAGTTTGTTGATGTTTCGATTGGAATCAATTTAGGTAATGAGTAATGAAATTGCTTGATTGGGTGTCATTGACATGAATATTCATGTTGACATTTGTCAACTTAAGTCCTAGTCTTTTGTAAAAAGGAAAGTTAATAGAAATAAAGAAAATGTGTTAATTAACTTATGT